CACTATCTATCTTCTATATATAGTATCTAGATATAATTTTAGACTAGATATTAGCGTAAGTTTATAATATACTGACCTATTTAGGAAATAAATAAATAATTTCGATTTATACTATATTTAAATAATATTCCACTATCTATCTTCTATATATAGTATCTAGATATAATTTTAGACTAAATACTAGTAAAAGTTTATAATATACTAATCTATTTAGGAAATAAATAAATAATTTTAATTTATACTATATTTAAATAGTATTCTACTATTTATCTTCTATATATAGTATTTAGATATAATATTAGACTAGATACTAGTATAAGTTAATAATATACTAATCTATTTAGGAAATAAATTAATAATTTTGATTTATACTATATTTAAATAATATTTCACTATTTATCTTCTATATATAGTATCTAGTAGATAAGGACTTACCTAATAATATAATAGACTAACCTAAATAGGAAGGAGACCTATTAGTAATACCGTAAATATTATATAGTAAAATATTTAAAAGGTCTAATTAGATAGGGATTTATAGATCTATCTCGATCGTAGAATATTTAAAAAAACTACCGTAGAATATTTAGTATTCCTAGTTAATTTCCGCGATAATAATTACATTATTAAACTCGTCTCCGCGAGTACTCTCTAATATCGTTAAGTCTATAGCCTTTCGAGACGTAGTTATTATACTATAAGATTAATAAAGTATAGATATTTTAGGAGTCGCGGTTAATATAATCTATATCTTATATTAATATACTCCCCCGTAGTAAGTAACGAGCTTTATACTCCCCTATATATCGCGTATATATAAAGGCGTTTACTATTATTTAGATTAAACTTATATAAGTAGACGGACTCCCGTACGCGGTATAGGATATAAAGATAATTAAGTAAGATATACTAAATACTATAAACTCTCTTTAGTTAGCTAAACGGGTCTTTAAGGACTCCCGTACGCGATACGGGATACTAGAATACTTAACTATCGAGATTTAGACTAATATCTTATATTTAATATAGTGAAAATATATAATAGAATAGGGAGCGAGAGACTAGAGTTAAACCTAGTATCTTCTTAAGTTATATATATATTAAATATATCGGAATCTTATAAAATATAGAGGAAGACCTAGATTCGAACCCTAGTATTCTTTATCGTCGACGTTCTTATTTTCGTCTTTTTAGAATAAAGAGAAGGACGACGACCCTAGGGAATATAGTACTAATAGTGAAATATCCTTTATTTTTTACTAGATCTAATTGAACTAGCTATCTAGTTTAGATAAATTAAGATATATATATTTAACCCGTCGAAAATCTTCTAAGATATAAAGGAAGATCTAGGTTCGAATCCTAGTATTTTTATAATATCCTTACTTATACTCCTTTATAATAGAAGAGTATAAGAGAGAGTATTTAGGGAATATAGTACTAACGGTAAAATATCCTTTATTTTTTTTTCTAGGCCTTATAGTTATATAGACTAAGTAGAAAATAAAGTAGAACTAGCTAGTAGTAGGAATCGAACCCCTTAAAGATTAGTATCTAATCTCTTATCACTTAATTATCCACTATAGAATATCATTCCGAATAGGTATAGCGGCGTCCTAATTAGGAAATAACTATTTTAATTGGTATTCTACTAGTTTTAATTGGTATTCCACTATCTATCTTCTATATATAGTATCTAGATATAATTTTAGACTAGATAATAGTATAAGTTAATAGTATACTAACCTATTTAGGAAATAAATCAACAATTTCAATTTATACTATATTTAAATAGTATTCCACTATTTATCTTCTATATATAGTATCTAGATATATTTTTAGACTAGATACTAGTGAAAGTTTATAATATACTAACCTATTTAGGAAATAAATAAATAATTTTGATTTATACTATATTTAAATAGTATTCTACTATTTATCTTCTATATATAGTATCTAGTAGATAAGGGCTTACCTAATAATATAATAGACTAACCTAAATAGGAAGGAGACGTAAAAATTTTGATATTATTTTTAGATATAATCTACCTTTAAGTAGATAGTATTCCAC